TCTAGGGTTAGGGCTATGTTGTCCGTGCAGGCTTGGGCAAGCTGTGGAGTCTGAGCGGGCGCTGGGGCTGCCTGGCACGCCGGAGGGAGGATGACTGCTGGGGATAGTAGTATCAGCGCCGAGCAGAGAGTTATAATCAGTACCAACTACTGACCGATCGGGATCTGGTTTAGGTTTTTCCACGGGCACGGTGAAGGGTGGTTTAGGCTTCATATGAGGAGAACCCTTGGACCCTTCGGAGGCTTGGGATTTCGTCTTTGGGGAAAATGCAGCTTCACAAGGGCCATTTCCTTGCTCAGTGAAGGTTGCTTTGGTCCCCATAGGAGGGGATCCTTTCTGACCTTTGGACGCTTCGGATTTCGGTTCAGGTGAAGGCGCGGTTTCACCGGCCGGTTTCCCTTGCTCATCGCTAAAGTGTACATGTCTGGCTCGCAGAGCCTGTTTTCTCAGAGTCCGATACGCCTCATACACCTGTAAGTAGATTGAAACTATAGCCGATACTCGACCTTCAACCTGAACTGAGATCGTACCTCCACGAATTTTTCATTTGCCGACTCTTTATCGGTAGCGTGCCGGTCCGGATGCCACTTCAGAGCCTGACGGGCGCGCTTGTATCAGTGCGCGTAGAGAGCCAAGCTCCGGAGAGTGCGGCATTACCATCTTCTTGTAGGCGACCCTTATCTCGTCGAGGGAGGCGTCCGGCCTGATCTGGAGCACTTCGTGGTAGTCCTTAGGGTTGGGAGGAGGCATCGCTGTTGCTTAGGTGGATGAAACGCAGAAATACGCGATATCTGGTCTTGACTGACGCCGCAAGGAATCTGAGGGTGTGGAGAGAGAGCCAAAGCCATAAAAACCGGGATACAACGCGGCGGAAGAAAGGAGTCCGTAGCAGGGTCGCAGTCGCTGGCAGGATGGCATATTTCTCAACACAAAGGTGTCATATCGCTCGTGTTGTACACGTTCCGTGTTCGCTATTACCTCTACAGGTCCTTCGGAAGAAGGTGCGTTGGTGCCGAGTGCCCTAACCTTCTCTGATGATTGCTTCTAGACTGAGCAACGCATCCATGGGTAAGGGCATGTCGTTCATGTGCTCGCAACCACTGGCTACATGCATGTCAGTACGGGCAGGATGCGTGCGCGCTCTTTCTCAACAGATCATAAGGAAAGCAAGTCAGAAATGGAAGGTATTTGGGGGGCAAGATGATCTTCCGGCATTTACCGTTTACGTGTTTGTCACATCTTGCCACCGCTCGGAAATTCCGGAATTCAAAACACGACGCTCTCGTCTAGGTATTTATCGTCAAGAGGATCTGAATCACAACCAGGCGCAGGTGCATATTGTCTCCTATTGATCGGCCCTTTAGCTCACGGTCTGTCGTCCCGAAATTACCTTGTCGACGGTCTGCGACAACATCGGAGGGACGCCCTTCCTCCAACATTAAGGTCTACGCTCCTGTGGAATAGGACCTAGACGCGATACTGGATGTAACGCAACGGCCCATGCCTTCATCTGCTCTAAACCTACCGTGACGTGATGGTCTATACCATACATCTCCAAAATCATGGTGTCCGTGACGCTTTCCCTGGAGTCTAATGGAGTAGTGGCACCAGAGCAGCCACAACCAGTAGGCGCAGTATCGTGAGAAGTTTCGGTACGAGAGGCCGATCTAGACCGACACAGCTTAGGTAGAACCGTCGGTACTGGGTAACATACCGGCAGAGGCAGCATCTTGGACTCGAGAAGCGCCGGCTGTCGCCGGTGGTATACCTTGCGACCAGTCGTTCCGATTCCCCTAGAATCGGGGTTTTTTGAATCCAATTATGGTCCCGAGGGCGTTGCCCTTATGTTGACCTTACATACAACATGCTACAATCTATGCTGCAGGACGCGGAAGAATCGGTTTACTGTTCAGTCGTTGTATAGGGCTCTCTGGTGATCGAAAATTGCCAGCGTTGAACAGGGGGTATACCCTTATAGCCCAAATTACCTTAACTGTAACGGGAGCACCCTCCTGAAATGGAAGGTCCACTGATCCAAATCTTACCACCATCAGCAAATAGGAGCTATTACCTCTCATGTCAATAATTACCGTTTGTGAATAGGGACTAATTCCAGATATGTAGTGTGGTCTCTGCATGGCACGATCCCTTCAAGATCTCGGGCCAATGGCACTGTCAGGCATCCCCCGGCTGTGTGTTGCATTGCGCCAATGGCAAGTACCCTGCTGCCTATGGCACAAGATTGGTAAGTTACATACGAG